AAAATCTGACACTGGCCCTTTAAAATCACCAAAACATCACTGGATTAAAACGTAAAGCCTGATCAGTAGGAGCTCCAGGTACCGGCCCGGAGCGACCCGGTCGGCCCGGAGCGACCCGGTCGGCCCGGAGCGTGGCGCGCTGACCTCGGATATGTAGAGGCAGACGCCTGCCACGCCGTGACCCGTCGACGGCTTCGCCACCCGCAGGAACGCCAGCGCCACGGCTGAAACGGAACGCACAGAGTGAACGAGACGCGGTCGCCCCTAGCAACAGCCACGCTGAGTGGCGAGTGACACGGATCAGAACCGGGACAAACCTGGACCCCAGCAGAACACAAACACCAGCGGGTACAGCAGCATCCGCAGGTCCATCACCCGGAACAAGGCCCGCTGCTCGTTGCCCAGGTAACCGCAGGATGTCACCGCCCGCCGGTAGATGCACCGCGCCTTGACCACCAGAACCTGGATCAGAATCAGAACCAGCCTTAATCGTCATCGTACAGAAGCACAATGAAACTGGTTTCAGTACAGCCAATCCAAAACAAGCGTCATAAGACCTGAGTGGACGGGTCAGGACCCGGGTCAGAGGTCAGCTTCCCCTCATTAACAGGGTAAATGAAGCCTTGAAACCCGGTCCTCTCTCTGGAGACAGTTTACCCCTCTAGACCCTGTTTACCCCTCTAGTTTACCCCTCAGCTCACCGTGATGCCCAGCAGGGTGAGGAGGAAGCTGCTGAGGAAGACTCCGATCTGGTAGGTGTGCAGGAAGCTGCAGCTGCGGCTGAGGTGCTGCTGGTCCGGCCGCAGGAACAGCGCTCCGGTGTGCATCAGCAGACACCTGCTCCACAAGCACAGCGTCAGCTCCTGACAGCAGCGCCGCTGCGCTAACCTGTCTCAGGTGAGGCCTCACCTGTACGGCTCACTGAAGTTGACCTGGCAGTGGCCGACGTTCCCTTGTACGAACACCGGGACCATGAGCAGAGCCGGAACCAGACTGAAACGGGAGAAACGGGTCAGCGGGGTGAGAGCAGTCCAGGTGAGGTCCAGGTTCACCTGCTGCTGGTCTCAGCATGTTCTCACCTTGACAACACAGCAATCATTTTAGCTTTCAGCGACACCGTGTTGGAAAACTGAGGAAAGAAAAGATGCCAAGATTCAGAACCTCATCCAGGAACCAACAAGATGTTTAAATTGCCGGCTTGATTAATAGCAAAATATGGAGATAAACATTTTAAAGACTGTTTGCTTCTTTAATAATAACACTTCATGTGAAATTTTTAGCTTCAGAAATCCTCTTCCTAAAGGCTAAACCAAGCCAAGTTAAGACATTTACAACCTTTCCTTTTAATATTATTTAAGGAATAGAAAGGCAACTTAACATAAAGCTACTCTATGTCAATATAAATGAGTTGAACAGAGCAAAGCTAACGTAATGTTTAGATAAAATGTGTTCAACTGTTATGAGATATCCAGTATCTCATAGTTACAACTTTAAAACTTCAAATTATGACTTCCTGTTGGGCTCTTATTTTTTTTCTTTCATGGCAGAAATGGCCTTCCATAGGAAGCAGATAGTTCTGATTTCACCTCAAACAGAAGAAGATAGAAAACAGTTTAAGATTTACAGAAACAATAAAATAAAAGTTATGTTGAATCTTAATGGATGTTTAATGACGCCTCTGTGAGCTACAGTTCAGCATGGCTACCATATAACCATGGCTACCATATAACCATGGCTACCTGTATGGAGTAGCCGCTGAAGCAGCTGTTGAACTTCTCTCTGGTCAGCGTGTAAAGGTTCCACACGTAGTTCAGCGTGAAGAAGAAGGACGCCATGTACAGAATCTGAAACAGAACAAAACGGTTCGTCTGGTTCTGACAGTAACGGGTTAAACCAGCAGCTCAAACGGACAATAGATGTAGGTCAGGCGTGTTTTTGTGTCCTGGTTCTGCTGCTCCATTTCCTCCTCAGTGACCCAGTTCAGGATGAGTTCTGGTTGTTTGAGCCAAACGGGCCGGATCGGACCAGAACATTTACGCAGATGAAGCTGTGACGAAGAGCCACATCCTCCTGGGCCCACCATCTCTCACCTACTTCCTGCCCTAAAGGTTCAGTTCAGGTTCTGTTGTCCCGCTCGCTTTCTAACTTGGAAATGCATCACGTGATGTGAAAATGCCGTCATGGCTTTGAAAGCGCTCTGGGTTTCACATCAGCATCTAAACCCAAACCGCGAAATACCGTTGCGGAAAGAGGAACCGCCGGTCCCAGACTCAGACAAACCCGGTTTTACCAACAGGCAACAAATCAGGACAAAATGAAGGAACAAGCCAACAAAGATGAACTCAGCATGCGAGCTTCTTAAAACAGGACCGAGTCGAAACGATCTAAGTACAACACGCAAAATATAACTGTATTTATATGTTTACAGTGATAAACTTTTGTCTTCTTACTTGGTCCGTCTGCCGTACTTATTTTTTATTTCCTTTTTAAGTTTAAGAGAAAAACCGAGGGTTAGAAATTGGAGAAACTCGTCATCTAGCTAGCTTTGCTGCACTTAGCGCCATTGTTTACGCATGCGCAGTGAGTGTTAGACGTCTCCTTCTTTGTTATAATGGCGGTTGGCAAACAAGTAAAGGGACCATTACCGCCACCAACTGGTAAGGCCAACCTGTACATCAATTAAGTGACGGGTATTTTATTTTAAAATGACGTGATAAATGACGGGCTGACGTGTTTTTCATGTCATGTGATCTACCCACGTTGTCTTTGTGACCGACTATTGACCTCAGAGGATTTATCAGCTGGGTTTAAGCCAGATGTAAAACTCAAACCTGCTGCTGCGGTGGGAAAACCCCCAGACAGCAGCTTCCAGTTCAGCTCCTGGTGTCAAAAATAAAACCTGAAAACAGAAGACACTAAACTTTACTTTCAGAGGAACTTCTTAAAGCTGAAAACAGAATGTTTATGCTTTTATATGAGAAAAACAGCATGTTCTCCAGCCTCTAGGTTCTCACAAACTGAATCTGAATCAATTTGATCCACTTTGAACTTTATTTTTACACCTGGTTGAACTGACCTTTTCTCATTCTGCTACTTTCTCCTACTGCTCTCCGATTTGATTTATTTGCTGTTATTTCAACTTAGAGATGATTATCTGTTGTACCATTTATCATTTATTTTGTTATAAATGATCAACTTTGATCTACTGTTAGGATAAATTTCAGTTGCTGATAAATAATAAATAAATGTTATTTTTACTTTTATTTCATCTTAGTTTAGTGATATGAATCACACTTTTTATTTTTATGTAAGTGGAGTCTTGAAGGATCCTGTTTTATGTGTTTTTCCAAGAACAATAATCATGTTTGTAGTTCAGTTACCTAAAAAATAAGTGATATAGTTATTTTTTTATCTTATTTTTTTTCATTATCACAATAATAACACAAAGTAATAACCTTAATTTAACTTTATGATTTCTGAGTTGTTTTCTCTCTATGAAAGATGTTGTGAATTGGCACCAAAGAAATAAACTGAATTCAACTGATTTTAAACTTGTTTGGTTCCTTTGCACGTTTCCATGTTTTATTCACAGATAAAATTAGAAACCATGAAGGTTTTTTCTTCAACTTTCATTGAAACCAAACACAATTTTTGAGTTGAATCCACTGAAATATTTCTGTGTCAGTGTTTGTGTCCCAGACTGAGTCCAGCCGTGAGTTTCTGTGGGAAACAGCAGCTGGTTCTGATGCTGTTCGTGTCCAGGCTGCGGTTTCTCTCTGCTGTTTGAGGAAGCTGAGATTTTCTAACAGTGAAGGCTTTGAGGAGGAAAGAGGAGCCACTTCCTGATAAAACTCATGGAAATCCCTCAAACTTCCCCAGAAAGCCCGTCAGACTCCCCCAGAGCGGCGGCGCGGCCGTTACCTGCTCCACGGTGTGCAGGTTGTAGCAGAGCGCGCTCAGGTGGTCGCAGCGCTGAGAGTAGAGGATGGCGCCGATCAGCCAGCAGGTGGCGAGCAGCAGGTCGGCCACGCTCAGCTGGAACAGAGGCTGCAGCTGCAAACAGGACAGCAGCAGTCAGACACCTGACCTCTGACCCCAGGGGACAGCTGGACGCACCCATATGATGCGACTGACCTCGGGCGTCTGACCGAGTCTGGGAATAATCAGGGAGATGATGGAGCCGGAACCAACAATGCTGCAAATATTCAGAGAAAATGTTTAAAAACTGTCTGAATTATTATTCAGAGCATTAAAAACACAAACACATTCTACAATAAAATCATTCCTGAATAATTTTGGCCAAATTTGCTAGTAAATAGCCAATAAATAGTTGTAAAATGTAAATGTCATTTAAAAGGCCAGTTGTAGAAGGTTTTCCTGTTTTCATGCATAAAATGTACAATTTAAGGAGAAACAACTCAAAGCAAAGCTGAAATAAATGTCTAAGAAATTAGCTAAGATTTTAAGATTCTTTCAAAATATTTTCTAAGGTAAAAACAAGCTAAGCTAAGCTAGCTTTAGCTAAACAAAGGCAAATCAAGCTAAGCTAAATTAAATGAAACCAAGATAAACTAAACTAACAGCTATCTGCACAAAGAGGAACTTTGTTTTTTTGTCAGTAGGTTACACATTTTGTGCTTTTTAAAGTAATTTACTATAAACTTTAAATCTTTAATTAAAATGTATGAAATATAAAAACAAAAATAAAGTTGTTTTATTTAAAAATCTGTTAAAGACCTTTGCTTCTCATCTACCTCTGCACCAAGGTGGCATTTCATCTAAACTGTGTTCATCGCCATGGAAACGTCACCTTGACAAACCAGAACCAGAACCGGATCAAGAAGTCCAGAACTAAAATTAGCTGGGGTTTTCAAAGCAATATTTTCCTCAGTTTTAGCCTAAAATCTCCTCCTTTCTGAAATGTCAATGCAGAAACAAATAAATGTCATTTTAAACTGAACAGAGAATGAAACCACCGAGGAGGATGAGGAAGCCGGAACCAACCTGAACGAGGCCATGATGAGCTGGATCCACCGGACGGCTTCGTACACCTGCAGGGGGAAACAACACGTTCAACCCGCCGCTGCAACCCGACCAGAACCGAGCAGAACGGACCACAGCCGACCAAGGGTGTAAATCCCACCTCATTATTGGGGGGGGGGACCATAAACAGGGAAAATGTTAAGAGCAATTTTGGGGGGGTCGGCAAAGTTACAGTCAAATGTGGTTTAAATTTTTGTTCAAGCTGCACCACCAAAAATGACTAGTAAGTAGCAATGAATAACAAAAGTGTTTTTCTCAGTGAACAACCTGTTGAGACCCATAGAAGTCAAACTAAGATTCAAATGTTGCTTAGATATGAGTTTGGTTCAGAGTCACAGATCTAATCTCTGCTACACCTTTACAAAAACTTAAGGCTGTAAATGAAAAAGTTTTAATAAGTAACTACACTTAATAAATGTGCTCATAAATATTGATTTATTGCAGTTTTTGTTGATACAAATCATGTGTTATTTAAATTATAACTTAAGTTGCTTTGAACCTTAATTTTTTTTGGGGGGGCAGGGGGAATTCATGTTAAAACCTATAAATATGTGGAAATTGAATATCTGGGAAGCATCATAACTTAAACATAAAGGTCAGCACCAGTTTTCTAGAAAAATATTCAGGTTTTATTTTGTGGTTTTAAAGGCTCTACGTTGAAGATGGTAAGAAATAAAGTCATACTTTATTATTTTTACTGCCAGCTGCAGTCGCCCCTCTGCTCTCGGCTCCCATACTGAGCTGTCGGCTAATGCTAACGCTCCCGTTTCAAACTCTTCTTATTAAAGAGTTAGAGAGCTAAATGTGATTGAAATATTGGCTACCTTCGACAGAAAAAGGAGCTAAGTCTATGAAAGCAATGTAGCAGTTTAGCTAGCTTTGATTTCCAACGCATAAGGAGGCATTTTATCACGATTCATCCAAAGTAATGAAATAACAAACTGCGGACAGATTTTTATTAACGTGTTTCACTCTATTGAGCAGTGAAAGTAAATAAAACGTGTTACATGTCTTTTGCTTTAAGTCTTTACTTACTGGAGGGTTTTTTGTTAATGCTGCAGAGCCACAGCTAACAGCTAGCTCCTCCCTTAGCGGATCTAACGGAGCCTGTACCGTTCAGCAGCTGTTGCTCCTCCTACACTTTGGACTGAACCATTGTTCTAACAATAGTGGGGGGACCTAAAAATTAATTCTTGTTTTTTTCTTAGATGAATGGCAGATTTACTTCGTTCTTTGTTTCTATTGCCTTTTTATATTAATATTGTTTAAATACAAGGGTTTCTTTCATGATTTCTTTGGGGGGGACAACTCTAGACTTTTCCAAGATTTGGGGGGTCCGGACCCCCCCCCCGTCCCCCAAACTCCCGGGATTTACGCCTATGCAGCCGACCAGAACCTACCAGAACCGATGCTGATGCTGATAAATATGGAGCTTCTCTTCACCTCCCAAACAGTTCATCTCACACAAATATTAACATAAATATAAAATTGGCAAGGTAAATATAAATTTATAGATAAATAGAGCGTGATATAAATAGAGCTAAATAAATTAAATGTTAAGTGAGCTAAACGTTTAGTTACATATTTAATTCGATAACTAAACTATAGCTAGCTCACAAACTACTGTCATCGCTAACTTTATAGTTAAGTTGCTAACCAGCGGTCCCGGTTCGATTCCCTGGGAATCCTGATAACGTCATCAGAGCCTGTCAGTCTGCGCGGAGGGAATAATAACCCACACGCCCCACGGCGTTAAAACTACTAAAATAAACGAAAAGATGAAAAGAAACAGTTCATTACATGTTTATAGAGTTTCTACACAAATGACAGAACAATATGAAAAAAAAATCCACAATTTAAGGAAATAAAATTACTGAATTTTCAAAAATTTAAATTTTATGTTCCAAAAATCAAATGGAAAAACTTCCTTTTTCCAGATGCAACTAAAATAATGAGCGTTTTTGCTCCTTTTTCCAGATTATTTTGCAGCTTTTAGAGCAGAAGTGATTGAATGAGGGAGTGAAACGGACCGATATGATTAAATCTCCTGATGAAATCAACGGGACTCACCTGGGTCCAGTCCACGGCCGCCGTGGTGTTGGCCTCCGGGCTGCGGGGGAGGCTCAGCGTCAGCGGGGGCAGCATGCTGGCAGGATGGGGTCTCTGGAGGAGCAGAACCTGAACTGGAACTGGGGATCAGCCGCAGGTCTTTATCCGGCGGGGGAGCGGGGCTTAGCCGCGTTAACCCCGCCCATCTGGCGGAGCTGCAGGTTCGTCTCCGGCGTTAGGAGGTAGATACTGGTTTTCTATCGACTCTCTGATTGGATCAGAGCCGTGCTTCAGCTCCCATCAGGAGGTTCTGACTTCTTCTGGAAACAAACCCGAACCACAGAGTTACTGTGAAAACGGATCATTTAATGAACCGAAACATCTCTGCTGGCGCCCCCTGCTGGAGGAAATCCCGACCAACTTCTGCCCTCATCAGTTCCTGTTTCCATCAGGACGGAATCTCTTCTCAGTGAATCTGAACTCAGCCTGGTGATGGTTTCCATTGCAGTCCTTCCATGTTGTTTTTTCTAATATTCATCACATTTGGGTTTAAAAATGAGTTTCTAGTCTGGAAGGAACAGAAACTAGTGAAGCTTGGTGAGAAACTAAACATTTCAGAAACTTTAGATGCTTTTCTGCCTGGAGGTTAACTCTGGGAGATCCAAGCAAACGTTACCAGATCTGAAATCAGCCGCCATCTGACGTCATTTTGGGAACATTAATAATAATTTTAGATGGTCTGGTCAACCCGGTTCTACTGGAACCAGAACTCCATCATCTGCTGGGCGCTGCACCAAGAACCACTGAAGGAAACGACACAAAAACCTCTGAAGACACTGAGAGCAACTTCCTTCTTCACCAGGTGGAAACAAGATGGAGGATTTTAGCAGATGGAGGATTTCTCTTTAGTTTTTGGCTAAAGACCAGGAGACATTTATGCTGCTGGTTGGATTTACCCAGAATGCCCTGCGCTGTAGTCCACTTCCTGCTTTTGGAGCGGTCTCTGGTCCACTTGGCGTTCACATTTAAACCGAACCCAGATTGAGGTCTGGAGGTCACACCTCATCAACCAAACCAGACTTTGACTAGGCAGACGGACTGGAGTTGGATCAAAGAAATGATGCAGCCTTGGGGAACCAGATTTGGGTCCAACTGGGAGAAAAAGTTTCCACCTTCAGGAGACTGGAAATAGTAATAGTAGCACTGCGCCACCTGGTGGATGCCTCAACAGAACAGAACCAGGCTGGACCATATTGGGTTTGGTGGAACCAGCAGGGAAGAACTTTTATGCCCTGATCTGGGAGTTATTGGTATCTAAACGACCTCTGACCTCTGTGGATAAATGAGATTCAGAAACTTTCGTTTGGATTAAATTTTTATTGTGGAGAATCTGATTATTTCGTGTTGAACGTCTTGGTCCGGCTCTCACCGGGCCCTTGAGAAAGGCATCGATGCATCCGATTGCTGGCTGGAGTCTTTGTTTGGCCCTTCTGAGCTCCTGTAGGAAGTTTAGCAGTGAATCTCTCGGGTCACGTGATTCTGAGGTGACCTTCATTGTTTTTTCGTCGACTCTGCCGCCGCCGGGTCGAGCTGCGGCTCGTCGGATTCGTGCTTCCTCATGTGCTTCCTGAAGATGCGGGCGCCGCTCAGGTTCTTCCTACAGACGCTGCAGTGGTAGGGTTGCGCGTCGGAGTGCACGTCGATGTGGTAGGTGAGCTCCAGCGCGCGGCTGAAGCTCTTGCTGCACAGCGGGCATTGGTAGCGGACGCCCGAGTGCGTCAGCTGGTGGTTCTTCAGGACGCACAGCTGCTTGAAGGTCTTGGGGCAGACGGCGCAGCGGAAGGGCCGGGCGTCGGTGTGGACGCGCTGGTGGCGGCGCAGGGCGCTGGAGAAGGTGAAGCTCTTGCTGCAGACGGTGCAGGTGAAGGGCTTCTCGCCGGTGTGGATGCGCTGGTGCTCTGTCATGTGGACGTGCTGCACGAAGCTCTTCCTGCAGGTGGGGCACTGGAAGGGCCGCTCGCCAGAGTGGATGCGCAGGTGCTTCTGCAGCGCCGACGCCTTGAAGCAGTCGCGGCCGCACACAGGGCAGCAGGTCTTGGATTTTCCCGTGGAGCGGCCGTCTGCCGGCGGGTCAGAGCGGATCTTTGGACCTGCTGGAAACACGAAGGGTCGGTCAGGAGCTGCATGGGTTCAACATGCCGCTGTCAGGTGGTTCAGCAGCACAAGAAGCTCTGCTGACGCATTTCAGAATGATTTCAGTGACCTCTGACCTCTGGTAATGTTCTGATCCAGTCCTGATTCAATTCATTCTTTAACGACAGCCCATCAGTTCTAAAATTAACCTATAGAAGGCTAACAGCAGCTTACACAAAGCTAATGCTAGCCTATCGTGGCTAATAGCCAGCAGATGAAGTTGGCAACCCAGTGGGTGACCAGGGTAGCCTTGCTAGTCACTAGCTCCTCCAAAGCTAATGCTAACTAGTAGTCTCCTGATTTTCCACTCAGTTAGCCGTGCTGCTCTATCAATCAGATTGGGAACATCAGAGTGGAGGTAGCCTCCTGCTACGAGGAAGTAGCCACAGCTGGGAGGAGAATCGTCTTAATTTTGGCCCTGATCTTGTGCCGTATGTATTTATCTGATGCAGCTGGAACCTCAGAGCTAATGAACAAACGGACCGGATCAGAACCGACCCAGCCCACTTTACCAGTCTACTGGGAAATCTGGGCCTCAGGCAGAACCATGTGAACCGGGTCAGAACCGTGGTCGTACCGCAGCGCTCCGGTTCCCAGCGCTCTTCCTCTCCATCAGAGTTGATCAAACCACTGACATCCTCTTCCTCCTGCTGCTCGCTTTGGTTCCCACCCTGGTCGCCATGGTTACCGGCATCAGGGACGAGGGTGGGGTCAGAGGTGGAGGGGTCACTGGGTCGGCGCTGGAGGGAAACAGGAGGAGAAGTTTCAGGCTCAACCAGAACCTTAAACCAGTTGGAGACTGGTGAGTAAACTGGTTCCTCACCTCGTCCTCCACACCTTCATCCTCCTTCATCATCATCACAGTTTTCTTCTTCTGGCCGCCGGTCCGCATATGGAGCCAGAACACCTGGAAGAGAACCCGGGTCAGTCCAGAACCCGGGTCGGTAAAGAACCCGGGTCAGTCCAGAACCCGGGTCGGTAAAGAACCCGGGTCGGTCCAGAATCCGGGTCGGTAAAGAACCCGGGTCGGTAAAGAACCCGGGTCGGTCAGCAACATGGAACCCAAAGCAGCTGCTGTCCCTCCAACTCCACTCAGATCAGTACGGAGAGAAATCTGGCCCAATACTAAAAATCATAACCCACATTTATGCAGTTTGCTGTTTTTCTGATTTTGTTTGAGACACTCTCACTTTTCTCCACACTAACCGATAGGAACGCGCCTTCCTGCCACGCATCAGAGGAAGTCCCACCCCCCGAACAAAACATGTAAAATATGATTTGAAAACAATACTATTTATAAAACTTGAAAATCACATCTGAAAATTTTAGGTTAAACTATTGCAAACATGTCATAATTTACTCTCAAAATTTATTTTTTGATAGACATGCATTTTTTCAAATGGTAATTTTTTAAACATTTTCTTCTCTTTCAATAATTTTGGAACCAATTTCTCTCCGTAGATCAACAGAATTCCTTGAGAACTGATGATGTTTTGGCTCATTGTTCTTCCGTCAAACCATTTGGAGGTCAAAGACGAACAACTGAAAGGTGGATCAGACAGAAACAGTCAACCCGGACAGTTCTGATGGTTCTGATCACCTTGTCGGCCGGGTCCGGCAGCCGGCCCTCCCTGATATGGACCCTCATGTGTTCCCGTAGCAGGCAGGGCTTCAGGAAGCTCTTGGAACAGATGTTGCAGCTGTGGTTCCTCTTCTTCCTCGCAGCTGGACTCCTGCAGGTCGTCAGGGTTTCTGGGCCCGGCGGACCCGGTGGTTCCGGCCGCAAGTTTTCTGAAACCTCCTGGGCCTCCAGGTTCTTCTCTGACTCTGTCCTGGCAGGGATCGGGTCTGCAGAACCAAAAACACAGAGAGGAAGAGTCATAAACCCAACAGAACCAGCAGACTTCTGGACCCAGAAGCTCCCTGAAGCCAAAGTTCTGATTTTCTCACCAGTCAGTGAAGGCAGCGACTCGTCGCTGCGGCTCTCCACCCGCAGGGCGGCGCTGGTTCCGTCCTGAAGCTCGTCTGGGTTCTAGAACCAACAGAGGGTAAAATGTTTCAACCAGAACCAGCAGGAGGGCTAAGATCCAAATTCATAGGAGCTGTTCTGGTCCATGTTTGTAACTTTTAAAGGGCCAGTATCATGTAAAATCAAATTATTATTCCCTGCAGTGTTGCTTTGATTCTTCCATGTTTCAGAAATACTTTAATCTCCATGGCAACCATTCAGCTGTGAAAAACGCCTGGGTGGACCTAGCCCCGCCTCCCAGGTGCAGCTCCTCCCCAACTCAGACTAACCTTCAAACTAGCCAGCAGCAATTAGCAAACAGCTGCTGAGCTCATTATAGGAGCCACTTCTCCAGTAGAAACGTTAAAGCGTTAACAGAGGAGCCATGTTGAGATTACTTCCTGGAGGCGGAGCTTCAGGAAGAGGAGGAGCTTCTTAAAGAGACAGAGGTGCAGTTTCAAGTCATTAAATTAGGAATAACTTTTTTTTGGTCATATTTAATACATTCAGCATTTTCATAACAACTGAAGGTAACAGACCTGATTGTGCTATAAAATAGAAAGCACATAATACTGCCCCTTTAAATCAGCTGGAGAAACCCTCCAGTTTCTCTCTCCTCACCGGTTCTGGCGAATCCGGACCGCCGGGCGGCGCAGTGACGGCCCAGCGGTCCGGCTGGCTGTGGATCTCCTGGTGCTTCCTGAGCGCTCTCAGCACGGTGAAACGCGTCTTGCAGACGTCGCACTGGAACGGCCGCTCCCCGGTGTGGGAGCGCAGGTGGTCCTTCAGCCGGGACGCGCGAGTGAACGAGCGGCTGCAGATGTCGCAGGAGAACCGGGTCGCGGCGTGGTGCCGCCGCTCATGATCCTTCGCCTCTTTGACAGAGGAGAAATGCTCTTGACACAGGAAGCATCGGAAAGCAGCTTCTTCCTGCAGGATCAGAGAAGTTTTAGCTTAGCACTTTAGCACGTTTGCTAACTTTGGCACACTTAGCTTCTCTTACTCAATTTTTCTAGATAAATTCGAAGGAGCTAATTTCCATGGCTATGAGGGAACCTTTCATTTAAATAAAGTTTGACATCTGAGTTCAGTTTTTGGTTATTGGCGATTAGGAATTCAAAGTAGTAGTTTATATTCATGCATGCTCTTATTTTGAAGTATGATTACATATCAACTCTAGTTCCTCTTCCCACATTCTTCACTGACGCAGCAAATGATGTCATTCTCTACCCATAATGCATCGCAGTAGGTCCACAGTGAACGGTCTAAAATCTCCTGATGCTTTCTGAGTGAAGCACTACTGTGGCTAGTTAGCAACAGAGTTGGCAAAACTCAACAGGTCGGAGAGGAATGACAGACTGGACGTTCACACCTGTAGACATACTAAACACCATGTTGATGTAATGCATTAGCATAAGCAAAATTAATATTTACGTTAGCAGTACAGCATTGGTGTTCAATAGTGATATATTGGTACAGTGCTTTAGTGGAATGGTTCACACTTTACCATTAGTTCATTTCCA